TCAATGTGACCTGCTGCACGGGTGGCTCTTAGGGCAGTTCTCCCTCTGTTTTCCTTCTCACATTGCCTGTCACATTTTATTTCCCCTGGATACTTTTTTCTGTAGAGAACACAATCCTAAAACAGAAATTGAACTTCAAACTTGCATTACGCTGGAAATTCAACCCAAGTTAGGTGAAATCAGGCTTAGCTGAGAACTGAACAGGTCACTAGTCCACATGCTGCTGCTGCAGCAGCAGTGAGCAAAAGGCAGTGAGGCAGCGCGGTGGCTCCTGCTGCGATTCTGAAGCCGTAGGAGCTTCTCAGGCTTCATTTGCAGTTGTGTGTGACCGATGGTTGTTCGTAATGGAATATCGTGGTGGAAACTTTTATTAGCGCAGTTCACTTCTCGCAAAGCCGCAGAGCTGATGCTTGTCAGAGGCGCTGCGGAAGTGCTCTTGGGAGGACAGAAACCTTCACAGAGCGCAGGATATTTCTTTCTTTTTTTTAAGCAGGAACCTCATTTGAACTACATCCGAACTGCAGTCCTCTTTCTTAGCAGCATGAGCGTCCTTTAACTTCGTCAAGAAGCTGTATTTCAGACTTACAGCGTTGTCAAGGGCTGTAGTCAGCCTGTCAGTCATTTCTGTAGGATGATCTGATGTTAAAGTTAGCTCTTATTTGAGCCGGGGATTAGGCTGGATGACATCTTGAAATCTCTTCCAGCCTGGCTTGTTCTTTGATCATGTAGCAAAGCAAGATGCTTGCAGCAACCTTGCTGGCTGCGCAGTAGAAACCAGGACGCGAATGTTTAAAGAAACTGTAAAAAAGGTGAAGGAAATGGTGCTGGAGTGCATCATATTGGCTGCTCCCTGCCCTGGCTGGCCCCCGGGGGAGGGAAAAGCCTCCTGCCTGGAGCATCGTCCGCATCCTACGGCTTGGACTGCGCTCGCCTGGGCCTCGATGCTGCAGGGTGGCTGTGCGAGAGCTGGTGTGATCCACGCGTTTGGAAATCTTGGTGTGAACAAAAGAGACGAGGAGCTTCTCACCTCTGCCTGAAAACGGGCACTGGGGCCGCTCATGGGCAGCAGCTTTTTGGCTGAGGTGCCAGCTCGAGGTTGGCCCAGGCAATAAAAAGCAGCGGTTTGCACCTGGAAAGCGCTGGCGGTCTGAGCACCGGCTCCTCGACAGGGCGAGGGACAGGATGGGGCTGGGTGTTCACAAAGGGCCGGGCAGGGCTGACGCTGCCGGGCACGAGCGCGGGGCACCCCCAGCTCCCCAAAGCCTGCGCTGCAAGGCCCGTGGAGCTGCGGGGGTGGCAGGACGAGCTCCTTGCTTTTCCTGCTCCTCTTGGGGTGTTGTTAACACCGAGTGTTACCACATTACTCAGAACCGCGGCGTTTTCTTTTTGCTTAAGGGTGTCTCTGTCCAGCTCATTAGCTGCAGTGTGTTTTTTTTTTTCCCTTTCCTGTCTCTGAACCCATGGAAACCTCTCCTGTCTCTTTCCTATGCACATACCCTCTGGCTTCTACCTCACGCTCTCACTGAGGAGCGTTTAGGAAAAACATCCATCTCCCCTTCTGGGAACTTGCCTTTTGCAAGGAACCACATTGGTGGAGCTGCACTTCGTGTGTCTTTTCTCATGAGTGTATCTTGAACGCTCACAGCGGGGATCTGTTACCGTTACTGTTGCCATCTGTGATGCTGTGACCACTTCAGAGTCGAGAGAAATATTTTTCCAGATGCTCTCATCTCCCGAGTCGCTAAATCGTCCTGTTTGCTTGAAGCAATGGTAACTTGGCAGCACGTAGGCTACTTTGTAAGTGCTGTAGATGCCAGCCATAATTCTAGAGAAAGCTCCTTGGTGCTAGAGCAGCGGGGCATGGCTCGAGCCGAGGGAAGTTCCACCCTTCCTGCTCCTGAGGCTACTTGTGACAACCGCTGAGGAACAACCGTCATCTTGCTGAACCTCAGAAAACTTATTGGGCCCTACAAAACAAGAAGCTTCCTCTGCAAAGCAGCTTTGCGTTCATGTGTGTAGGATGGGACTCCTGCCCTGGGTTTCCCTCCTTGTTACAGTTTGCAGGTTGTCTCTGATTGTGGCTGCATGGTGCTAAGTGTCCGAGTGCTCCTTCAGTTAATCTGGTTTCCTGCCAGGGTTCGTTCTGATGGTGCATACAGTCAGGGCCAAATCAGAAACAGGTATGTTTAGATTAAGTGTGATTACTTAGCATTTCTTTTAGGTCAGTAAGGGCTGTGGAGAGGAATAAAAGTTTCTTCCTCTTGGCGCTTTCCTGAGATGGGAGGAGAATAGTAGCTCCAGAACAGCTGGTGTTTTGGAATTGACCTGACTGGAATGTCAGGTGGTGTTTGGAATTAAGAGTTCTGACCAAACTCCAGAATCAGGTGTTTGGTATCATCATTATTAGAGACTTTGAGCAGTGAAAATACAAACTTTCTTTTATACTTGGGAAATTAATTATTTAATCATCAGTTTTTTGAAGAAAAATAATTAAAAATGCTTGATCTTTTGAAGCTCCTTAGTGTCTTATTTGGCTACGCTCCTGTCATAAGCACTAGGATGGACTATTAAAATGTCTTGAAATACTGGGATATTCTGGAGTCTAAAATAGAACTGGCAGCTCAGCTTTCAAAACCAACACAAGCACCAGGAAATTTGAGACGAAAAATGTCATTAGGTATGAAGATGAATGCTGTGTGGTGAAAGATTGCAGGAACTGTATGAAAACCGGAGCGTGCCCGGCAGCCCGGGAGCTGCCTGGGGCCTGCGGGGAGGTTCCTGCAGGGAAGAGCCGTGCCGGCCGAGGGGATGTCCTCCCCAAAACCCACTTTCCGCAGCTGGGAGAGCAGCCTTTCTGCATGTTCCAAACGGAGCTCTTTCACCCTCGAGATGCTCAGCCTAGGGAGATGGGCAGCAGCCGCGGCGGGGTTGATCCGTGGGTGCGTTGGCCGTCGGGAGCTCTGCGGGCCCAGCACATCTCGGCTCTGTGAGGGCAGGGAGGCAGCATCCAGCTGAGGAGCAGCTCCCGGCACAGGAGCAAGGTTGCAGTATTTTTTCCTGGTTTTGTCGCCGCTTTTGGATCTGCCCCAGACTCTGTGAAATCTCTCCTCGTCTGACTTGATGAGGATTGAGGTGTTTGTAATAGATGCTGGGCCAAATACAGTCCAAACCGCTAATGGCACCTGCGGCAGACTACGGCTGTGTCGGTGGGAACAAAAGCGCCCTGTTTCGTGCACCGTGTTGCAATAACCAGTTTTATCGTCTTTTTGAGGGCAAAATGGTAAGTTACAGAAGAGCTGAGTGAAGAGCTTAGCGCTGTGCAAGCTCTGTGCCCCCTCTGCAGCTGCACGGGCCCGTGCCAGCTTCAGCACTCGGCAGGGCCCTGCTGGACCCGTTGGCCCAGGGACAGATTGAGAGATCCCTGCCTCGTAACCAGGCTGGGTAACCAGGCTGGCTTTCCCGGGATTGGGAGCTGCCGTTTCCATGGAAGATGGAGAGTGGGCAGGAAGGAGCGGCCTGGATCAGCCTGATCTGTGCTGGCCACGATCCCTTCCTCGTGTGATGTACACGTATTTTGAGTTTGCTCTTAGTTTTCCTCTGCGTTTAAATGTTTTTTGACTATTTAATGAGATCCTTTGAGAAAGAGGGCTGCATATAGAAACACCGCTGCATCTTTTTTGTGCTTTGTCTCAAAGGCAAATTTATCAGTAAAGCGTATTTATTTCTTTTAAAGCACTTGAGGATTGATGTCTCTAGTCAGCTGTGCATGCTTAAAACCACCTGCAACCTTAAAAACTTCTGTTGTTGGATACATTTCCTTTATCGGTGATATCTGAGTCTGGCTTAAGAATTTGCTAGTGCTGCTTTCTGCTCCCTAAGCCTGGGCACGGTTGGAGTTTATAAAAGGGCTGCGTGTGCCAGTGAAGGGCTGCACCGCGGAGCATCGTCCCGAGGCAGCGCTCCTTGTCCATAAACATGGCCGGGCGCTGCTTCCAGAGTTTCCTGCTCGCCAGGAGTCTCTCCGATACTGCCTTCATCACAAGAACAGGAGGATTTCTGTTGTGAGCAGCAATTAATTGTTAGTTTGGATGGTACAAACTGCTCTGCTGCTTGGATGTGGGATCTGAGCACACTGAACCGAGCGATTTCTTCTTTCATCTTCCCCTCAAATGTAAAGAGCATCAAGCAATGTCTGGGAGCTCTTTGTCTTTGCTTTTCTGGGAGGCTTGTTTTTCTTTCCTCCAGCCTTCTCTACCCCAGACATGGTGGAGGCTTCGTGCTCTGGAGCCTGCCTAAATGCTCATTTTGAATGAAGGAATAAAACTGAGAGACGATCTTCTTAATGAAAGGTTTCTGCTCTTCAGACCTGCTCAGGTAGAACACAAAAGGACCATCAAGATTGTGAAGGGCAGTCTGCTGCCTTTGCAGGGTTTCACCTTACGATACCTACTTCAAAAGGGTTTGTATTCATTTGGGGCACAAAACATTTCCTAACACCCTCTACAAACCCCACAATCCATACTAAAAGAGCAAAAAGCTGCCAGTAAAAGATACCACAGAAAATAAATCTTTCACTTAGGAATCCAAGTGTGTTGATCATAAGGTCCAGCTGTTCTGCTGGGATGAGCTGGAAGTGGCAGCGTGGTTGTGCTGTTAACAGCTCTTCTGTTTGTTGATGGTTTGCTTTACAGCTGAGCAATAAGTATAAAAAGGCCTAACCATGTGTGCTTTGATACCTCTGATGCAAATTTTGGCCAGATGAAAAGGTTGTAGAATAACATGAAGAGAAATTGAAATGTGGGGGATTATTTTGTTTGGATCAGAAGGTGCTCCTGAAATGTTCGAACTCTAAATAAGCATTTTTATTGTCCAGAATGTGATGTTTACTTATCCTAGAATAAAAAATGGTTGCAATGATCAGATTTAAACTTGAAATATCTATGTCATAATATTATTTGACTATGGATTATTTTGTATTTTTTCCTTTCTTTTCAGGTTGCTATGGTGGAAGTCCAGCTAGATGCAACTCATGAATACCCTCAAGGTCTCCTCATAGCTTTCAGCGCCTGTACTACTGTCCTTGTTGCAGTTCATCTTTTTGCACTCATGATAAGTACTTGCATTCTCCCAAATATAGAGGCTGTCAGCAACGTGCATAACCTCAACTCGGTCAAGGAGTCTCCCCATGAGCGCATGCACCGGCACATCGAGCTTGCCTGGGCCTTTTCTACTGTCATCGGGACTTTGCTGTTCCTTGCAGAGGTGGTGCTACTCTGTTGGGTGAAGTTTCTCCCCTTGAAGAATTCATCCCAGAACAGCAGCTCTACCATCACATCAGGAGAGGCAGCAGCCATCGCATCCACATCTATTATGGTTCCCTTTGGACTGATTTTCATTGTGTTTGCAGTCCACTTCTACCGCTCCCTGGTGAGCCATAAAACAGACAGGCAATTTCAAGAACTGAACGAACTTGCTGAATTTGCCCGGCTCCAGGATCAGCTGGACCACAGAGGTGATCCCATCTCCCCAGGTGTTAGCCACTTTGCATAACCCTGTACTCAAAGAAAATAAATGCACTTTTCTGCTTCTGCCTTGCAATGTTGACTCCCCCCTGCATGAACTGGTTGAACTATAGATTTGTTTTTAAAGAGAGATTTATAAATGTTGTTCTAGCTTTTTTATGGGGAAAAAAAGAGTGTCGTTGTCATAGCGTTGTGGATACCTGCCGTCTGGAGGAACGGCTGGTGGGGTAATGGTGCACAGCATGAGCCTTCCTCCCCTAACGAGTCCCGTGCAGATTGCTGCTTGTTCCTCTTGAATGGCAGCCACATAAATACACGGAGAATAACACTGTAATCTTTGGTGTTTGTTAGGGTTGGATAGAGAAGCACTTTTCCTCTCTCTATTTGATGTTGGCATTTACTAGAAGATACTGCTTGTCCAATACGTGTTGCATGGCATGATACAAATTACTTGGGATACGCGGCAATTAGCACTTGGTTTCAGTGCTAGCGCTGCGCTCTCCGGAAAGCCTGACAGATGGTGAAGTGAAAGCCTTCCCACCGCCTTCCCCGCTGTGTTTTGCTGCCAAGTAATTATTACTTCACTGATTTCTCTAGCGCCTTTTCCCATGGCAGTTACACATTTTATAGCCCCCAAAATACCCATGACGAGTCTTACTGTGATGTGGTATGGCCACATGCGTTGGACTGAGACTCTACTCTTCTGTGGAAGAAAATCAAAGCAATAAGTGTTTTAAGGTTCTCATGAGTTGGCAATATCTGACGATTAGAATTGCCTGTTTTACCATTTATGAATTCTTTTTTTTTTTTTTTTTTTTAAGAAGAAACTAGGTGGAAATAATCACTGGATAAATTTATTTTGCTTGAAAATCAGAATCACTACTGTTTTTTTCCAAGCCAAAGTGGTAACTATTTTATACTTTTATATAAATAAATATATTTATTTTTAATAAACCCTCAGATACAAGTAGCAAAAGGTGCTTTATGTGTTGGATTCCCAAGTAATTAGCTATGCCTTGGTCTTCCTTGTCTAGAAAGCTTTCTGTTTGCTCAAGTGTTGTATTTAAAAACTTCTTAAACCTTTTTGCTTCCAAAGGATCTGGAGACTACTTCTCTTTATGTAGATTTATTTATAAGAGTAGATTATTTGTAAATAATATTGCTGCTCATGTTTGGATACCTGCATCTTTGTTAGAGTGAGGCGACTGTGTCAACTTCTGTTTTCCTCCTGAAGCAAAATCTTCCATTTGGTCCCTTAGATGTGAGGTTTGTCCAAGGAAGATGGGGGTGTTTGTCCTGGGCTGCTTCAGAATCTGTGCAGTTCCAGCTGCCTCCACAAGCTTTTCTTCTGCAGAGAAGCTGTTGGCTTTCATGTGCACTGGCCCCTTGGAACATGGAAGCTGAGACCAGATGAAACCCCGGCTCTGTTGTCACGCTGCAGGATGCGCTGGTGGGGTTGAGGTGCCGGCGGGTCCCGCTCGCTGCGGCAGCGCCTGGCGGAGCCAGCGGGGCTGCTTTTGGTGTCGAGTTCTGGTGCACAGAGTACACATGGGATTTTCTCTAGCTCTGCCATTACATTACGCTTCAAATACTAAAAACACTATTTCTGATATAATTTTGATGATGAGAGTTTGGGCTACAATCCCACGGATAATTGTGTGGGGAATGCTGGAAGGGTTGCATTAGGAAAGGCATTAAAAAAGCAGCATTCCAAGACATGAAATCTTCCTAGCAGGCACAAAATGGCCTTGTGCATTCTTTACCAAAATGAGGCTCATATGGGGAAAAGGGGTTCTTGGAGCCTCGGTGACGGAGGCAAATCTGGCTGTGTTCACCCTAGAACAAATAGCTGAGAAGGTGCTGTCAGGCTTAAAAATAACGCTTCTGTCTGTAAATTATGTACTTGACTTGTAACTTTATTATGAATGGAGGTCCAGAAAAAATATTTTCCTAGCTTATTTTATAAAAATACTTGCTCTCCTGGGTAAGTAGCTGATTTTATTTTGTGGGTCTTTCCCAAAATGTCAAGAAGTGGGGTTATTGGTTTGGAAGATAGGGAATTAGAAGGTAGTGGGGCAACCTTATTTTTAACTTTTTAAAGCTGGTAGGTTCCAAGCTAATGGGGCTGTTGCTACAGCTACTTTCTGACTATTTTCTGCACTTTATACTCTAGTATTGAGTATACTTTGCAGTTGTAGAAATGGTCACAGAAGTTGTACTTTGGGCACAGTCTCACAGCTGCGACAGTCAGTAACCAGGATGAGAAGGCCTGGCTGTGAACATCAGGGTTGCACTCGGAGTGGTGTTTTTCTTTTCTTTTTTTTTTTCCTTGTTTAAATGTCTTATTTATACTAATGGTATTAAGCATTTACCTCAAGCATTTTAAACGTGGTTATTGTATATCACTGATTTAGATATAAAATACTTAAAATAATGGAATAAAAATATACTCAATTGTTGCTGGTTATTTGTCATCTAGACGCCTAAAACTCTGCTTAACTTTCTTTATGTTCCTTCTCATTCTGCAGCTTGTATTGTGGTAATTGTAATTGTGGCTTCCTGAGAGTCTCTTAAATGCATTCAGCTACTCATTTCATGAGTATAAAGATGAAATTTCCTGTTCACATGCACAGGTATAAAGAATGTAGAGTATCTGGCCTGCTTTTCCTCCTGTCAGCCCTGCTTATATCTTGAAACTAAGACTGCTGTGTTGTTATTCTTCTCCCTGAGTGCAAGTACAAAAGCAGGTTATCTTTCTGATGTAGAAACACAAACAGTTAAGGGGCCAAGTGATCTGTAAACAGGACTTGTGGCACTCAGAAATGCAGTTGAAATCGAGTGAACCGATTACACCGTCACCTGCGGCTTGTTTGGCGCCTCGGCACGGGGGTAACGCAGGAGCAGAGAAGTGCTCTCCATCAATGACAGTATTAATGGCAATGTGGTCTGCTAAAGGCATAAAAGGCACCTCAGGGCCCAGGTAGCTGTTGCACTGAGTTACTCTGGGAGGCGAAAGGGCTTATTTGCCTTAGCAAAAAGCAACGGTTTCCATTCTGTGCTATAAAAGCAGAGCCTTGGAGAACCGCAGTCAACGTGAAATACCTGGAGACTAACATGAGAGCTAGTCCTTTACGGGAGGAGTAAACCCTAGAGGAGTTCCCTGTGCTTCCAGCATTTTGCTGTCCTTTTAAATCACTGGGTTTGGTAGGAGGTCTCTGAGCACAGCCACAAGCAGGGTGGAGGTGGTGTTCAGAAATGCAGTTTAAATCAGGAGAACCTGATTGAGTTCCTGAGGGAAGGGAGGGCGGCCGACCCCAGTCCAATAGGCCATGGTGCGGAGCAGAGACACAAATGAGAAACTCAGGATTTTGCTCTTATCTTGCATCCTTTTTTTTCTTCTTCAGGATCCAGTTAATATTATTTTTGGCTGTCATCAAACATTGCTTGGGCCTCCTCTAAAACACCATCTGGATCAGCTAGTTCGATCTAAATAGAAAGAACACAAATCAATTATGCAGTGTAGCTGAGGAAGTGGAGGGCTTATAAATACTGATTACTTCAGCATTAGTGGAGTCTCCCGTGGAGCAGGGCTTTTAGTTTATATCACAGCCTTTTAATTACTGTTTTAGAAACATTGCTGCACTTTTCTACTTTTATTAACATTTGGGATGTGTGCACTGGTTCTCTTTTAGCAGTGCCCCTTTCCTGCACAAAACTTGGATTTGCAGCCCGTGGGTCACACCAATAGCTCCGATAGGTGAGTACCTGGTGTCAGCTGAGCGAGCATCAGCAAATCTTGAGTCCAGGATCCTGCCTATGACTGGATGCGGTCCCCAAGCCTTGCATTATTGACCAGGAACCTGTCATCGGGAGCCAACCTGCTTTATAGCCTCATGTTTCTGGGAGGTTCAAACATGTTTTTCACCCAGGCAGAAAGCAGCCAGTCTTTTCTTACTTGTTTTGCTTCTTGAAGTCTTGGCTCAGTAACTATAACACAAATAGCCCAATCTGTTGTGTTGTGCCTTGCCTATGCACAAGGATGCACTTTCACCCTACATCTACATATCTTTAGCAGCTTCTTGTGAAGGTAATTTAACAAAGGCCTAATAAAAATCTCAACTTTTTTTTTTCCTTTACCTGTTATTTCTTTCATATTCTGAGAGCTGAATGACTCTCTTCCAACTAAAAGTGTAGTAACAGCAGCAAAAGTTGATGTTTTCTTTTTGTCCACAGAGTAGAAAGAAAACTGGGTCATATCTTGGTCTTTGGGGAGTTTAAATAAACATTTAGGCCTGGACATCCTGCCTTAGCAAGACGGTAATTCAGGAACTCATCCAGCTACTCTGGGGCTCGGTCGCTGAAGAAGCAGATCTCCTGGGTGTCCTTGAATGAACCTCTCAAGGTAAATATTTGTAGCTACAGAAGTACTGCTCCTTTCATTCTTTTTGCAACCAAGGACTGGGCTATTTTTCCCTGTGAGTATTTGGTGTTTATTATTTAACACTGCTGTGGGGTACTTAGTACTCGGAGAATTCACTGATTGTCAAAAATGCTCAAAGAGCATGTGCTAGAGAAAGTAGACTTAAAACAGGTGAAGGAAACCAAGGATGCAGCAAAATAAGGGAGTTTTGCTGCAGCTTGCTCAATACTGACTGCAAAAAGTTTGTGCCTTTACCTGTTGTGAGGGACCAGAGAGCCAAAAACAGCTGATCCTGTGGGCCACGGCCATGCTGCTCCTGGCAGTATTGGAATATTGCAGACCTGCATGTTGTGACTAGGCTTTGAAACTGTGCCTCTTGTTACTAAGAGATGATGGGAGCTTATTTGGGATGTATCCACCAGCACAGGTGCCTCCCATTGCAGGAGGTGCCTTTGGGCTCCATCATGCATATCGCAAACCTGGGAGGATGCCTGCGGCTGGCTCCCTTGTCCATCAGCTGCTTCCTTAAGGGAAAAGGGGAGCAGAAGACAGTGGTTCTTGGATATCCCTCCATCTATCTGCCTTAAAGCCAGGTGGGAAGCTGTGCCCTGGTGCCCACTAGGCTGGTGGACCCAGAAGACCCCCTAACT